TATCTTATCTAATTGGTTTACTAGATGTTTGTTGAATAAAAGAAAACAATAGGTTTTAAGAACGGGAAACAATGAGCATTGTTTTATTCCTCCAATCACAAGAAACCTTAGAAATAGGCAAGAGAGGCACAAAGCTTTAAGGGACAACGAACCATGATATGCTACGTAGCGGTGTTTTTAACAGTTCTTGTGTTCAATTGTAGGTTGTGATGACATCATCTCCCAGAAATCGTGTATCGTCCTGAAACGATTGAATGAATGCTCCAAAAACTTGGCAATGCGCATGCGTTATTGCAAGTCGACATGTGGATTTTGTCGTAAGTATTAATTACCTTGTTTAGACATACTTTCAAAAAACAAAATGATTTGTCCATTCACAGATATTTGGCCTTGCCTTACAAATAATCACAAAAAGTAATACACATTTTATTATTAATAGCATGCCGATCGGAAAGACCACTTGGGATGCAAAACAGAGCCATTCCTGATTCGAGCATCACCGCGTCATCGTATCTTGGCAAGGCCTATAAACCACAACAAGGACGACTTCACATTAAGTCTGTAATTTCTTCCAGTGGCAAGGCTGGATCATGGATCCCAAAAGGGCGAAGAGCCGGAGACTGGCTCCAAGTCGATTTGGGCAAGGTTACCAGAGTTCAAGCTGTTGCAACCCAAGGTCGATACGACGCAAACCAATGGGTGAGAAGTTACACCCTGCAATACAGCAGCAATGGCAAAACCTTCAAGAAATACCAGGGAGGCAAAGTGTTCAAAGGAAACAGTGACAGACACACCGTTGAGAAGCATAATCTAAATCCCCCGATTTATGCCAGGTACATCAGGGTAGTAGTCAAGGCATGGTATGATTGGCCGTCAATGAGAATGGAGCTGTATGGCTGCAACAACTGAGGTAAAATAGCAATTTATCATTGTTCATTGCCTCTTGATTTTATTTTTAAAATAATTCCACATTTTAAATTGTATTTCAGTTCACCATACAGACCATCTGGGTCATCAGTCCTGATGCTGACTATCGTAAACACATTAAAATAACGATAAACATGCTAAAGATAATTATGTAAACTCAAACGATTAAAAGATTGAAAGCACTTCAAACAAGTTTCTTATTTCTAACTAGAATAAAAACAATCATTCGTGTGTGATACTCGACCATTATATGAAGTAAGATGTAACTTTTATGTATCAAAACAGAGATTATACGGCTCTTTGAGTTAACTCACCGGTTTCTATTCATACTGCAGCTGCTGTTATTATTACCACATTGTTGCTGTCTGCTATCGCTGTTACCTACTACTGCTACTACTATTGATGCTGCTACAGCGTTATGACTTCTACTGATACTAATGCTGCAGCTACTAGCTACTGCGCCTCTACTTCTGCCACCACTACTGCTTGTGTTCTAGTAGAGCCAATTTCGTATGAGTGCAGGGAAACGTACGGTAGAAATTACCGCACAGCTACCGCACAGTTACCGGACCTGGCGTCCACAATTGTTGTGAACCAATGGGGCACTAGAATTTGGTTACAGTACGATTACGGTCACAGTACAGTACCGTCCGTTTCCCACTCATACGAAATCCGCTCTAATGCATCTGCTGCTCCTTCTCCTCGGTGTCGCTACTGCTACCTTGGCTGCTGCTACTTCTACTTATCAATCACAAAAATACAAATGTTTAATTTAAGGTAAAATATTATTTCCTAGCCGGGGAGGGGTGGGGGAGGAGATGGGTCGGATCCGTTTTAAGGAGAGCTGAAAAGCTCAAAAAATTTCAAATTTTTGGAACCAAACATCAGAAATATATCATAAGCGATTTTTCAATTTTCGTAATACCGAGCGAGATATCCGTAATAGCGGGGAGACCGTAATAGCTAGTCGGTTTATAAGGCGGAAGTGACTGTGTTAGTGTTACCAATAGTGACGGTGTTTAGGTCTTGGCCCGCCCGGGGTCCACTGCACCTATTGATCCATTATGAACTATAACTTGTTAAAACACGATTCAAGCATTCATTTGATTTTGTCTAGTAAACCAGAGTCAACACATTGTGCGGTCGGGTTAAAATAATCAATTTCAAATCGTTTTTCTGCTCAACTTTGAATCAAGAAAGTGGACAAAAACACATAACTGTCGAGATGAAACTCCTGATTTTGATGATAACTTTGAGTTGCTGGTTCTCTTTGGCCTTGTTTTCAAAAGGTATAGTATTGTTATTGATAATTTTTCTCGCGATCTCAGCTTTATTCATTCCTAATATATATAATGCTAGTCTGTGTTACTACCTAAAACATGGAAAAATACTTCTTTCTTAATCTATAGTGGTACAACTCACTAAATCACACTACTTGGCGTATTGAATTCAACCCATTTTGAGATCAAAAGAGAAACACTTGCATGTCCTGGCGTTACACAAGCCGTTAAACTAGAGTAAACTTCGCTGGTTATTGCAGTGGAACTGTTCTTATAAAACGATTAACAATTACACCTAACACCTGCAAAAACCGTTATTGACTTTTTGTTCTTTCTTAAGTTCTAAGTAAATATAATAGGACAATAACATGACTTTTGAAGGGCATATTGTTTATTTGCGGCCCGAGTAGCGTCATTTGCGCYCGAGCGAAGCGAGGGTGCAAATGACGCTACAAGGGACGCAAATAAACAATATGACCGACAAAAGTCATGTTATTCTCATTATCATCAATAAATAAATGAATTTCACTCAACTTTATTCAATAAATTCCATGTCTCCAGAATCGATAGATTGTTTATGATTTGGTTTTACATTCATTTCTTTCGTGAACAGCTTTGCTTTCGCTTCAAACATTTTGTTAGCAGACATGAAGGCGCTGTCTTAGCGGAGCCAATGTTAAATGGCGATGTATGGCTTCTCTTAGTCCTGTCAATGCACTTGGGGTCAGGGGCTGTCCTTTTTCTGTTTTAACCTCTGCGTAAAATTTCCTTAGAACTTCGTTAAGTTCTTTTGGAGCAATAGTTTTCAAGTCAACACTGATTTGTCGTTTTTCACTCCACTTGAAAAACTTTTTCAAGCCCCATTCAGTTGCTCTCTTTGTGTTTTTGGCTTGAGCTTGAGCTTCTATTACGTCAAGCTGCTCTTGGCCTAAGTCAGAACCTTGATTATTCGCTACTTCCAGGTCGAAATTAGGATATTCTGCCATATTTTTGAGTGATAAATCGTTTCAAAAACTCAAACTTGAGTCGCAGCGAAGAACAACTCGCGCGCTTTCAAATTGTTATCACAATGAAATCTGATTGGTCGAGCACGATCGTAAGACCCTCGTTGGGCCAATCAGCGACAGGGCTGATACGAAAAGATTTGCAGCCCGCCAAAATCATTATCGGCCCGCTAGGTGCGTGTTTTTATGAGGGCAGTTTATTATTTGGCCTTCTATAATGATGATAATGT